TTCCATTGTCATTATTATTATTGTAAACGAATTCGAACTTTTCAGCTGTTCGATATAATTCAGCATAGCATATCTTTCGGTGGTAGGAGGAACTACAATGGATATCGAAGAAAAACACGTTCGGGAAGCATATAAATATTTGGCATCACTTCCAGGTATTGCTTATGCAACGCGAAAGTCAGTAATTCGGTGGATTAATGTTCAAAAATTTGTTAACCAACTTCCACTGGGCACAATTGCCGTTGACATTGGCAAGTTCTTCGTCTTTTTTTTTTTTTTTTCGCTTCATTTGTAATAATAAAAAACTATAAATATATTATGCAAGAAAAGCAATTCTACCATTCATATTGCAGTTTATTCTAAGCCGAAGTTAGTAAAAGGTGCCATAACAATTTGAAGGAATGTTGGAATTTGACAATCTGACTTGAAACTGATACAATTGTTGCTAATTAAGCTACTCATACTGTCCGTTGAGGAAATGCTCAGTCTAAAGTATTTCTCAGTTCAGGTTGTGGTGAAGCAAAGTACTACAGAAGCGATTGCTTCTTTATGGATTGCGATACATGTTTAGAAATGCTTGCACAGCTGCGATTACCACCATTGGTTGACCTGCAGTTAGCTGATGCTCTAAATTTACCGTATAGGTAAAGGATACGAGTTTGGGCTTAATCATTTTAGTGTATAAATTTCTTTTAATCTCCAACAAGAATGAAATGGATGGGAGAGATTAAGGGTTATATGACTAATGAATGGGCACAATCTTCGAACTGTTATCTTGAAGCTTCGAAATTTTCGATATTTTCGCACTCATACCTCTCAAATTGTAGGTCAAACAGTATTGATGCTGCCTTGTTAGTATCCGTTTTACATCATTTTGCAACTGTCGATCGGAGAAAACGAGCGCTGGCTGAAGTTGCACGATGCTTACGACCTCGGTAAATTGTTTATCCCTAATGTTTCCTTGGTAGTGTACTAGAAATGAACAAGATTGTTCTGTCATTCAGTGTAGCTGCTGATTACATATGGGATATGAAAGCATGTAAGCTTTTCAAGAAAGACTAAAAAAGCTACTCATCATAATATTCTTTTCTTTCCTTATATGGTAATATCTCTCGTTTTATTCAAACACTTTGGAATGTTTTCAATTGTGCTGCATACATCATTCAGTGGGTGTATTCCCGTGATATAATGAAATATTCAAGTTGAATTTCTCGAAGATGTAACTAATACATATCCAAATCTCCAAAAATGTTAACTTCGCTTTCTATATTTTTTAGTGGCAAAGTACTGATATATGTTTGGGCATTCGAACAACCCAATGGGAAATTTTTCTTTTAGAATCTTGTAATCATATCAGGGTTCTCCCACTTAAGGAAGCGGAAGGTCTTGAGCATTCAAATCGTTTTAGAAATGTATTCGAATTAGATCTGTTGGCTGTAATATCAGGCGTCGTTGGGTTTTTTTTCTTATTGATACTGTCACAGAATTTGTCTTATTGATCTTGTACTTGTTGAGTTCGTTGCTTTATTATTCATAAGAATCAAAGTATGATTATCTAAGTTTTTTATCTAAGCTTATCATCTCTGGAGAAACATTTCATGCAAAATTACTGGCTATTCTTAATTCAGGCAGATAAATGTTTAGCAGGACTGAGATATTTGAAATTTGATTATAATTATGTTGACATTATGTGTTTTATGTTAACAATAATCGAAATTCTTTAACTTTCTGTATAATGCTGTGTAAAAGAATTTATAATACTTCTGTCTAGTTTCCTTCT